GAAGAGGTAAGGAGTCCGAAATGTACCTCTGTGACTCCACATTGTGGAAACTCACTTGTAGTGTATAAGATGAACTAGATGGACCCATACTTACCCAAACATGGATTAATAGGTTCTCACATGACTATGAGGACAAACATGAGTGAAACGGTCTCAATCCAAGGGAGGAACATCAAATGGACCAAATTTGGGAACCGGAAGAGGTAAGGAGTCCGAAATGTACCTCTGTGACTCCACATTGTGGAAACTCACTTGTAGTGTATAAGATGAACTAGATGGACCCATACTTACCCAAACATGGATTAATAGGTTCTATACATGACTATGAGGACAAACATGAGTGAAACGGTCTCAATCCAAGGGAGGAACATCAAATGGACCAATTTGGGAACCGGAAGAGGTAAGGAGTCCGAAATGTACCTCTGACTCCATTGAGGAAACTCACTTGTAGTGTATAAGATGAACTAGATGGACCCATACTTACCCAAACATGGATTAATAGGTTCTACACATGACTATGAGGACAAACATGAGTGAAACGGTCTCAATCCAAGGGAGGAACATCAAATGGACCTAATTTGGGAACCGGAAGAGGTAAGGAGTCCGAAATGTACCTCTGTGACTCCACATTGTGGAAACTCACTTGTAGTGTATAAGATGAACTAGATGGACCCATACTTACCCAAACATGGATTAATAGGTTCTACACATGACTATGAGGACAAACATGAGTGAAACGGTCTCAATCCAAGGGAGGAACATCAAATGGACCAAATTTGGGAACCGGAAGAGGTAAGGAGTCCGAAATGTACCTCTGTGACTCCACATTGAGGAAACTCACTTGTAGTGTATAAGATGAACTAGATGGACCCATACTTACCCAAACATGGATTAATAGGTTCTCCACATGACTATGAGGACAAACATGAGTGAAACGGTCTCAATCCAAGGGAGGAACATCAAATGGACCAATTTGGGAACCGGAAGAGGTAAGGAGTCCGAAATGTACCTCTGTGACTCCACATTGTGGAAACTCACTTGTAGTGTATAAGATGAACTAGATGGACCCATACTTACCCAAACATGGATTAATAGGTTCTACATTGACTATGAGGACAAACATGAGTGAAACGGTCTCAATCCAAGGGAGGAACATCAAATGGACCAAATTTGGGAACCGGAAGAGGTAAGGAGTCCGAAATGTACCTCTGTGACTCCACATTGTGGAAACTCACTTGTAGTGTATAAGATGAACTAGATGGACCCATACTTACCCAAACATGGATTAATAGGTTCTACACATGACTATGAGGACAAACATGAGTGAAACGGTCTCAATCCAAGGGAGGAACATCAAATGGACCAAATTTGGGAACCGGAAGAGGTAAGGAGTCCGAAATGTACCTCTGTGACTCCACATTGTGGAAACTCACTTGTAGTGTATAAGATGAACTAGATGGACCCATACTTACCCAAACATGGATTAATAGGTTCTAACATGACTATGAGGACAAACATGAGTGAAACGGTCTCAATCCAAGGGAGGAACATCAAATGGACCAAATTTGGGAACCGGAAGAGGTAAGGAGTCCGAAATGTACCTCTGTGACTCCACATTGTGGAAACTCACTTGTAGTGTATAAGATGAACTAGATGGACCCATACTTACCCAAACATGGATTAATAGGTTCTCCACATTACTATGAGGACAAACATGAGTGAAACGGTCTCAATCCAAGGGAGGAACATCAAATGGACCAAATTTGGGAACCGGAAGAGGTAAGGAGTCCGAAATGTACCTCTGTGACTCCACATTGTGGAAACTCACTTGTAGTGTATAAGATGAACTAGATGGACCCATACTTACCCAAACATGGATTAATAGGTTCTCACATGACTATGAGGACAAACATGAGTGAAACGGTCTCAATCCAAGGGAGGAACATCAAATGGACCAAATTTGGGAACCGGAAGAGGTAAGGAGTCCGAAATGTACCTCTGTGACTCCACATTGTGGAAACTCACTTGTAGTGTATAAGATGAACTAGATGGACCCATACTTACCCAAACATGGATTAATAGGTTCTCACATGACTATGAGGACAAACATGAGTGAAACGGTCTCAATCCAAGGGAGGAACATCAAATGGACCAAATTTGGGAACCGGAAGAGGTAAGGAGTCCGAAATGTACCTCTGTGACTCCACATTGTGGAAACTCACTTGTAGTGTATAAGATGAACTAGATGGACCCATACTTACCCAAACATGGATTAATAGGTTCTACACATGACTATGAGGACAAACATGAGTGAAACGGTCTCAATCCAAGGGAGGAACATCAAATGGACCTAATTTGGGAACCGGAAGAGGTAAGGAGTCCGAAATGTACCTCTGTGACTCCACATTGTGGAAACTCACTTGTAGTGTATAAGATGAACTAGATGGACCCATACTTACCCAAACATGGATTAATAGGTTCTCACATGACTATGAGGACAAACATGAGTGAAACGGTCTCAATCCAAGGGAGGAACATCAAATGGACCAAATTTGGGAACCGGAAGAGGTAAGGAGTCCGAAATGTACCTCTGTGACTCCACATTGTGGAAACTCACTTGTAGTGTATAAGATGAACTAGATGGACCCATACTTACCCAAACATGGATTAATAGGTTCTAACATGACTATGAGGACAAACATGAGTGAAACGGTCTCAATCCAAGGGAGGAACATCAAATGGACCAATTTGGGAACCGGAAGAGGTAAGGAGTCCGAAATGTACCTCTGTGACTCCACATTGTGGAAACTCACTTGTAGTGTATAAGATGAACTAGATGGACCCATACTTACCCAAACATGGATTAATAGGTTCTCACATGACTATGAGGACAAACATGAGTGAAACGGTCTCAATCCAAGGGAGGAACATCAAATGGACCAAATTTGGGAACCGGAAGAGGTAAGGAGTCCGAAATGTACCTCTGTGACTCCACATTGTGGAAACTCACTTGTAGTGTATAAGATGAACTAGATGGACCCATACTTACCCAAACATGGATTAATAGGTTCTACACATGACTATGAGGACAAACATGAGTGAAACGGTCTCAATCCAAGGGAGGAACATCAAATGGACCAATTTGGGAACCGGAAGAGGTAAGGAGTCCGAAATGTACCTCTGTGACTCCACATTGTGGAAACTAGATGGACCCATACTTACCCAAACATGGATTAATAGGTTCTACACATGACTATGAGGACAAACATGAGTGAAACGGTCTCAATCCAAGGGAGGAACATCAAATGGACCAATTTGGGAACCGGAAGAGGTAAGGAGTCCGAAATGTACCTCTGTGACTCCACATTGAGGAAACTCACTTGTAGTGTATAAGATGAACTAGATGGACCCATACTTACCCAAACATGGATTAATAGGTTCTACATGACTATGAGGACAAACATGAGTGAAACGGTCTCAATCCAAGGGAGGAACATCAAATGGACCAAATTTGGGAACCGGAAGAGGTAAGGAGTCCGAAATGTACCTCTGTGACTCCACATTGTGGAAACTCACTTGTAGTGTATAAGATGAACTAGATGGACCCATACTTACCCAAACATGGATTAATAGGTTCTATCCACATGACTATGAGGACAAACATGAGTGAAACGGTCTCAATCCAAGGGAGGAACATCAAATGGACCAATTTGGGAACCGGAAGAGGTAAGGAGTCCGAAATGTACCTCTGTGACTCCACATTGTGGAAACTCACTTGTAGTGTATAAGATGAACTAGATGGACCCATACTTACCCAAACATGGATTAATAGGTTCTACACATGACTATGAGGACAAACATGAGTGAAACGGTCTCAATCCAAGGGAGGAACATCAAATGGACCTAATTTGGGAACCGGAAGAGGTAAGGAGTCCGAAATGTACCTCTGTGACTCCACATTGTGGAAACTCACTTGTAGTGTATAAGATGAACTAGATGGACCCATACTTACCCAAACATGGATTAATAGGTTCTCACATGACTATGAGGACAAACATGAGTGAAACGGTCTCAATCCAAGGGAGGAACATCAAATGGACCAAATTTGGGAACCGGAAGAGGTAAGGAGTCCGAAATGTACCTCTGTGACTCCACATTGTGGAAACTCACTTGTAGTGTATAAGATGAACTAGATGGACCCATACTTACCCAAACATGGATTAATAGGTTCTAACATGACTATGAGGACAAACATGAGTGAAACGGTCTCAATCCAAGGGAGGAACATCAAATGGACCTAATTTGGGAACCGGAAGAGGTAAGGAGTCCGAAATGTACCTCTGTGACTCCACATTGTGGAAACTCACTTGTAGTGTATAAGATGAACTAGATGGACCCATACTTACCCAAACATGGATTAATAGGTTCTCACATGACTATGAGGACAAACATGAGTGAAACGGTCTCAATCCAAGGGAGGAACATCAAATGGACCAATTTGGGAACCGGAAGAGGTAAGGAGTCCGAAATGTACCTCTGTGACTCCACATTGTGGAAACTCACTTGTAGTGTATAAGATGAACTAGATGGACCCATACTTACCCAAACATGGATTAATAGGTTCTAACATGACTATGAGGACAAACATGAGTGAAACGGTCTCAATCCAAGGGAGGAACATCAAATGGACCAAATTTGGGAACCGGAAGAGGTAAGGAGTCCGAAATGTACCTCTGTGACTCCACATTGTGGAAACTCACTTGTAGTGTATAAGATGAACTAGATGGACCCATACTTACTTCGTTTACACATGAACCAGTTGTGCAACTAAGATGAGGATTGTTGTTGACACTGCAGAATGTGAGTGTTTTAATATACCAAAACAGTAGATTAATTGGCGTGATAATAATCGGAAAAAAGAAGAATATAGCTTACTGTAACATCAGTCCTTTCTTCTCAATAAGTGAGCGAGGAACAGAGCCAGATAAATTATTATCACTCAAGACTCTGTTGGAATAGATAAAGAGATTTAAAATGAAAATTAATCAATCATGTTTAGGAAAAAGCTTAGTCAAAAGAAAAAGTCAAAGTTTGTAGTGTGTCATGAAATACTTACATGACCATGAGTGATTTCATGTCAGCTAGAAATGCAGGTATTTCTCCAGTCAAACTGTTATTTGACAAGACCCTACGTGCCATTAACAAAGTAGAAGTAACCCATCAAACAAGATCCATTTCCAAAAGCTCAAAAAGCTTGATCAGCCGTGGAGATACTTACAGTACTTCCAGGTGCATAAGATTTTGAAGGGCTTGCGAGATGTTCCCACTTAATCCACTTGAAGACAAGTCTCTAGAGACATAAATAAAAAAAGTGAGATAGCTAGTTCGAAACTGACATGGTATATAAACCTAGTGAGATAACTTGTTGAAGGATCAATCTTACAAAGAAGTGATTAGTGGTGGAGTAGAAATATCTGAGTACTTGCAGCCTAGACCGTCCCACAAAAACTGTTTAGGGACGCATGGATCTCCTTGCCAATTAGTTCTATTCAATACATAAGCATCTTGAACCTTCTTGATACCAATAACTGCCATTGTAAAAGCCATGATGATATCAAGAATCAACACACAACTTAAGATCAAGAATGTGAAATCAACATATATACCGTCATCTTCAAATGTCTCCATTTGAGGGAAATCCATCACGGTGAAAGCCTCGATAGCATTAAGTAGAGGTGGAAGAGTCGATTTCGACGTCTTCACAAGCTCCAAAAGACATGCCCCATCAGCGCATTCAAATGGTTCTCTCTTGAGTACAGGATCGGTTTTTAGCAGTACAGGACTATAAGGTCCATATATAATTTTCCCATTCAGTGTCACATTGAACTCTCTTGTCTCGTTGGCCTTTAGAGTCTGAAGCTCAGCAAAGTACATGTTGAAGTGAAACTTTGAAGTAGGAGGCTCTAAATCCCAGTTAATCTTCAATGTCTCTGTATCGTTTAGAGGTGTTGCGCCCGCTGCTAGGACATCTTGTGGTACTTCATCACTATTAGTAACGTCTACATTCAGAGTCGTTGTTACTTGTGCCCATGTGTTCTCCAAGAACAGTGCGTGCCATTCACGGTCATAGATATCATCTGGATACCTGCCACAATATTGTAGTAGACCACATTACTTATATAACTAATTAAAGGCTTTCCATCGTTTCAAATGCAAAAACTGTTGAAGGTAGATGCAAACAAAAATTAACAACCAATGAAGACATATATTTACCGTATAGTACGGCCTGAATTGCTAAGATACCTCCTGAATAAGAATTTCAGTGAGCCGCTCTGAGCAACGTACGCAGATTTTGGCAACGGTCGTAGCTCCAAGACATTTATGAAAGGTATACTATTCCCCGTATTAACAAGACATACCTGTAGAGAATCGGATCTTGTTACGTGGATGATCTCCTGTATACTGTCATTTTTAGTCACCGTTGTCCATAAATTCGGACCCAGGTAAAGGTCAAAGTCTGGACCGATGTTTTGATCATTGTAGTTTCCATATACAAATTTGGCCTTGATCAGATATTTGGTGCCGCGGCTGACATTTAGACTGTAGCAGTTACGTACTCCTTCCGGAAAATATCTCAGCGTCAGAAACGGCCTGGAGTAGTTCGCTTCAAATTCCCTGGCGATTTTACCGGTTTCACCACTGTTAACTAAACCGGTGTCTGATGTATATGTAAAACCGGTTCCGGGTGCGCGGTAAGGAGGCTCGCGAGTGGATAAACCACAACCCACATTGATGAGTCCTAAATGAGATCAGCATAAATGAAAAAAAAAAAAAAAAAACTAAGAAACCGTTGAAAAACACACAAATATATTATACGGAGTATAGATCTAAAAATAACATTTTTGAACGTACCGGTTGGATTTTGAGCTTGAACAAGATGAAGTATCAGCATGAACGTGGCGATGAGCACACAATATCTCTCCATTTCTTCTCCTTACTATGGAAAGAAGAGTTTCTTTTCTTTTGGGGGATAACAAGTTATGCATATGAGTTTATGAGTATATGAGCAACTTCTCAAAAGTCCTTAGTCAACTCCTTATTTTTCTAATGAATCGGATAGTATTAATTGAGGATAATAGTTTCACGGTGCAAAATGATACGGCGAACAAGTTGAGAGAAAATGACAAGAGTAATTAGGGTGGTGGATGGAAAGCTCTTTCATGTCCTTCAGTACCACAAAACCGTTGACTAAGTCAACTTGGAACGAACACGCTCAAATGTCGGTGTAGACTTGGACGACATGCAATAAAACAGAGGAGACGTGCATTAAACGGCAACTGAAGCTATTGGTGGAATGGAAACTACATGCAATGACGCTATTCGTCTTCTCCCTCGCCCTGCCCGCCAAAGAACATCCATAGTCGAAGGAGTAATGTTCGTCACAAAAAAGAAAGTAATGTTTTTTTTAATCTAGAAATTATTCGTTTCTGAAATTAGGTTTTGCACTGAGATAATTTAAAAATCATTTAAAATTCAAATATTTCCCAAATTCAATTTTAAATAAATAAAAGAGATTCTGCGATTTCTGGGAGAAAATAGATTTTTACAATTTTCAATTTTGGCAGAAAAAAATGTGATTCCGCATTTTTGCGGAAAACGCGATATCATCATGGTTTTGGATCTTTTGGTGAAAAAAAACAAAGTTTTGCAGTTTTAGAGGGATCTGGCTACCGTGGTCCAAACTTAAGGTGGACCCTTAAACTTATGGCCGTGGTCCGTTGGATGGTGGATTCAAGTTGAAATTTTAGATATAAACTTGGTTATTACAATATATAATAATCTTACATTTATATGGCTGTTCAATAAACAGATCAGCAGCCGTGCAGTTGCACTATTAAAGACTTAAAGTTCAAAACAAGAAACAAGTTGAAATATTATCAAATAGAAAAAATCTCATTGTTGATCAAAAAAAAAAAAAAAAAAAGAAAAAATCTCATTATATAGCGTCAATTGGCGAACTATATGGTCCATATCAAATAATGATAGATATACAATCATACATGACAGACATAAGAAAGCCTATAAGATATAAATGATGATACATACATGTAGCTACTTAATTATCCGACTGAAACCTCAACTTTCTTCATTTTCGTATGGCTAAGTAATTGACTTGTTTACCGACTGTCTTCGCGCCCTTTTTTCTTCATATCAACCCATATTCATTGATAAATCTGTTTCCTCTTTTTACCCAAAAAAAAAAAAAAAAAAAAAAAAAAAAAAAAAATCCTCTGAATTGTTTTTATTTAAGCAGACAGAGAACTTCTCCGTTTTGCTTCTTTGTGAAGCAATTTTTTTTTTTTTTTTTACTTTGTGAAGCAATTTTTCTTTGGCTATATAACCCTCCCTTAGATAACATAATAGCGTCACTCGAACTAAGTAAAATAACAATTATCTTCATTATCTTCACCTTCTATTTTCTCTTTCAAAATTGGATTTTCAAAACTAATCAGAACAAGAGTAACAGAGTAACACTGTTAAGGATATCAATCAAGATATCACATCCCTAGATCACTCACTCATTATCCTTTAATTACCCTTCTGATTATTCTCATTCTTGTATACATAAAGACTTCTTGTAATCATCTTATAACACACACACACAAAAATTACATTCATATTCAATAAAGGGAAATTGCAGTAACTAACAATAAAAAATAAAAAACCATGAAATTAACAAACTAACAATAATAACATGATGGCTAGAATATAGTCTGTATTTTATGAAATAATACCAAAACTATCCCTCATATGAGAGAGAAACATGTATTGTTCCCAAACGAGGTCAAAATTTCGTTGAGAAATAGAACCATGTGAGAAACACTGAAATAGTATCACAAACCTAAAACCACCAAAAACGAGTGCATTCGAATGCAAAAATCAAGAATTTGGGTTTTCAATTTCGATCGAAAGTCTGTTGGAAAACAAAACAGCTTCGACAAAGGCAAAGATCGGGCAAAATCGTATAGAAAAATAAAGAGCATAATACCATTTTCTTTAGACAAGGGCAAAATCGTCCAAAAATATTTCTCTTTGTTACTTACTTAATTTTGAGTTTGTAATGGCTATATTCTTAATTTTGACACTCAATATTGTCATCTACCAAATTAACCCTTCAATAAACAATCTATTTGTCAAACAACAAATCAACTGATTCTCTCAACTGACACATGAAGGGGAAAAAAGTGAGACTTTGAACTTTTATTCACGTGTATCAATGACAGAAGTTCATAGCTCATTACAAAAGTTACCTGACAGAGACATACAAATTTGAAGGTATATCCATAAAATAGAAACAGATAAACAAGAATTCAAGTGGTACCGCAGGATAATTCTTCATATAATCTATCGAGCCGCTGGGCTCATTTCAGTACCATAGGTCAAGCTCACTTCTATAGAACTCTTCGAGTCCATTTCCCTACTCGCTCCTCCTCTTGCATTTTCAGATGCAATACACTCGTTTAATGCAATAACAACTTGAGACATTGTTGGTCTTCTTGCTGAAGAAGGATTGAGACAAGACATTGCTAGTTCAACAGCTTTCCACACAGAACCAGAATCGTAATCTCCATTGAGACTTGGATCCATAATGCTTTTGATGTCTCCTTTTGTCAGCATTACTCCCACCCATTCTGCTATATGTGACTTTTCACGGCTTTGGTCTATCACGGGTCGGTTTGTGATCATCTCCAACAATACAATCCCAAAACTATAAACATCACTCTTCTCTGTCAACCAGTTTGTTCTGTAGTACCTGGAAAACAAAATATATGAATTTTTTTTTTGTCAAGTCTCTTTCTCACTAAAGAGAAAAGAGAATTTCTTTAGTAGTTATTAATTATACTTACTCAGGATCAAGATATCCAGGAGTTCCAGCAACAACTGTTGACACATGAGTTTCACCTTCGATTGGGAATGATCTCGAAAGTCCAAAATCAGCAAGTTTGGCCTGGAAGTGTTCATTCAACAATATATTTGTAGTTTTGACATCTCTATGAACCATTGGTGGTTTGCATCCACTATGCAAGTACTCAAGTCCTAGGCCACAACATTCGTTTTTGATAAGTTTCCTAGAAGATGTTAACAAATAACAAAACAACAAACATTATGGTCTGTAATCTTTTTAAACTAACCTTGTGCCGAATCGACGACTATATTTAGTCGAGTTCCCCAATTCAATATAAAGCGGTTACGTGCTCCTGTGTTTTAGAAGAATGATGTTAAAGTCTTGTGTTACCTACATATAACTGAAACAAGATATGTAATCATCTTTTTTCTTTACCTGACATATGTTCCTTTAAATCTCCATTGGACATGTATTCATAGATAAGAGCCAAGTTCTCTCCTTCGTCGCAATACCCAACAAGACCTACCAGATTCTTGTGATGAACTCTAAGAAGAAGTTCTACCTAAAACACCAAGCCATAATACACAAGTTCAAGTTTTTTACAAAATAAGTGAATCATTGATGACGGTGAGAATTTACCTCAGCTTTGAACTCTTTATATCCTTGCGATGATGAATGGGAGAGCATTTTAACAGCTACTTGTTCTGTACCGTTGACAAAACCATGATAAACGATTCCAAAACCTCCTTTCCCAAGGACTCTTTGGAAGTTATTTGTCATTGTCATAACTTCTGAGTAAGTAAACCTTCTATTCTTTGTCACTATTGCCGGTTCAGATGATCTACCATCTGAGGCTTGCTTATATGATGGTGCTGGCCCTAAGATTACAGGGAAAAAAGTTTAGCCTGACTTAGTTAGTTAAATTTGATATATATGTATGTTGTGATGTTACTATTGAGTTTATTTATTAGTTACCTTGAACCTTTGATGCCTTTTTCTTTCTGAGAACAAGGAACAAGACGATTGCACCTACAAGAACAGCTATCGAAACAATTGATGCAACCACTGGTACAATGATACTCTTTTTCTTCTTTCCAGCCTCTCCTTTGTTCACACATGAACCAGTTTCGCAAAGAAGATGAGGGTTTCCTTCAACACTGCAAAATGTGAGTGTTTTCAAGATATATACCAACCAAATAGTACATTAATTGGCACGAAAATAATCGAAAGACAAAAAAAAAATAGCTTACTTTAACATCATTCCTTTCTTCTGAAGAAGTGAGGGAGGAACCGTGCCAGTGAAGTTATTACCACTTAAGTCTCTGGTACAGTAGATAAAGATTCAAAACATAACATAAGCAATCATGTTTAGGAGAAAGCTTAACCAAGAGAAAGAAAGAAGAAAACAATCTCTCGTGAAAAACTTACATGACCAAGAGTGTTTTTATGTTAGCTAAAAATTCAGGTACTTCTCCCGTCAAATTGTTATTTGACAAGTCCCTACCATTAACCAAATAAAGGGAAAGAAAGGAGTTAAATACGATTCGATTTCCAAAGGCGAAACAAATATAAGGCTTGATCAGTCGTGGAGATATACTTACAACTTTTCCAGGTGAGTAAGATTTTGAATGGCTTGCGTGATGATCCCTGTTAATCCACTTGCAGATAAATCTCTGAAGAAATGAAGTGTGAGATGTGTATTTTGAAATTGATATGGACTAAAAAACAATATAAATTATCACAAAATACACATCTTACAAAGAAGTGATTGTTGGTGGCGTAGAAATATCTGAGTTATTGCAGTTTAGACCGTCCCACAAAAACTGCTTGGGGACACATGGATCTCCTTGCCAACTGGTCCTACTCAATCCATAAGTTTCTTGAACATTCTTGATACCAGCAACTGCCATTGTAAAGCCATGATGATATCAAGAATCAACACACAAAATGCAAAACATTTGTAGATAAAATCAAGAACTACAAAAAAAATATAAATAAACATACCGTCATCTTCATTTGTCTCCATTTGCGGGAAATCAATCACGGTGTAACCCTCAATAGCATTAAGTAGCGGAGGAAGAGTTGATCCCGGCGTCTTCACAAGCTGCAAAAGGCATGCCCCTCCGTCGCATTGTCCTGGCGTTATGTCGAATATGGTTTGGGTTTTTAGCGGCTTAGGACTATATGATCCATATTGAGATTTCCCATTCATTGTTACATTAAATTCCCTTGTATCGTTAGCCCCTAGAGTCTGAAGCTCTGCAAAGTGCATGTACGAGTAATACTTTGTAGTCGGAGACTCTAAAGTCCACGTAATGTTTAATGTCGCGTTAGGGTTTCGGGGCGTTGCGCCCGTTGTCATTACATCTTGTGGTAAGTCATAAAGATTACTAGCATTTACAGTAAGATTCGTAGTTACTTGTGTCCATGAGCCCTCCACGAACATTGGATACCATTTACGATCATAGGCATCAGATGGGTACCTGTCAACAACATTGTACTACACCACATTACTAATCAAATTCAAACGTACTGCTTTCCATGGTTTCATGCAAGAACTATTAACACGGAATAAAACAAAACAAAAAAACATTCAAGAAACAGAATCTTTCTTCTTATTTTTTTCTTGAATACTACGCAACATGCAAATTTATTATATTTTATTTTAATTAAAATAGTAAGATTGTGGGTTTTATTTGAAGAAACTACACGACTTTAAAATATGTACGTAGAAATGCAACTACAAAGTCTAACAAACCAAACAAGGCAGAATATTTCTTACCGTATAGTACGATCTGTGTTGCTAAGATACCTCCTGAACATGAACTTCAACGAGCCGCCTTGACTAGCATACGCAGTTCTCGGCAATGGTCGTAGCTCCAAGGAATTTATGAAAGGTAAACTTATACCCGTCTTAACGAGACATACCTGTAAAGAATCGTTTTTCGTCACATGAATGATCTCCTCTATTGTATCATTAGTATTCATCGTGCTCCATAAATTCGGACCCAAGTAAAGGTCGAAGTTCGGATCTAGATTAAGACCATCGTAGTTCCCATATACGAACGTGGCCTTGATCAGATAGTTGGTGTCGCGGGTGACGTTTAGATTGTAGCAGTTTCGTGCTCCCTCTGGAAAATACCTCAGCGTCAAGATCGGCTTAGTGTAGAGCGGTTCAAATTCCTTGGCGATTCTACCGGTTTTCCCTGTGTTCACTAAACCGGCATCTGATGTATATGCTAAACCGGTTGGGTTCGCGTTGTAAGGAGACTCACGAAGGGGTAAACCGCAATCCACATTGATGAATCCTAATAACATGTTTATAATCTAAGAAACTATTGAAGAACACACATGTATAGATTAAAAAACAACAATTATGTACGTACCGGTTGGATCTTGAGCTTGAACAAGGTGAAGTATCAGCATAAAAGTGGCAATGAACACAAAATATCTCTCCATTTTTTTCTCCTTGCTAGTCCAAAGGAGAGAGCTTTTCTTTTTTTCTTTGAGATAGCAAGCTATGCGTATGAGTCTATGATTATATGAGCCACCTCTCAAAAGTCATAAGTCATATGTCAACTCCTTAATTTTAAGATTAGCGAATTGAAGAAAGAAATAATTGAGAATAATTTGTTCACGGTTCAATATAATTCGAAAAAACAAGTTGATAGAAAATGACAAGAGTGATTTAGTGGTCAAAAAGACAAAAACTCTCTCATGTCCTTTAGAAATTAGAACCACAAAACCGTTGACTAAATCAACTTTAAAGATCACGCTGTAATTTCGGCGTTAGTCGACGTGGAAAAACGAGGTATAATAATCCAGCAAGAGGAGGAAGACGTGCTTTAACAACTTTCTAATGAAACCTATTTACTCGTTGACTTTGACTTTTGTATGGCTGTTGATTGGTTGATCTGTCTCTCTTGGTCTTCGTCGTTGGAGATGAAGTTTGAATCTCTACCGGCGAAGGTCAATGATAATGACTAATGGAGTTTATTTATCGTATTTTTTGTGCATGAAAATTGCCAATGCAACCTCCAATTATTTTCGCCAGCAGTTTTTAATTTGTGGAAATCCGAATTTGAGCTGTTACTACTAGTGGTGTTTTGATGATTTTTGTAATTCATATTTACATAAGCGGAATTTCAACAATATATTTCTCTTTTTTTTTAATTTTTCCTAGAAAATCTTTGAATACCTACCTAACGCTCCAGAACAGAGTATCAAACAGAGCAACAAACAAAAAAACAGAGGATACTGTATAATTGATGTTCATGATCCCAAAGACAGAAATAAAATCTTGTGCTGTAGATGTATAATTGATGTTCCCCAGAATGCTGGAACAAAGAATTTTTCTTTCTATTGTTCTCAGAAGATTGTTTTAAACGGTATGTCAAATCGTTGAGGAAGTGCTTAAACAAATTGGGGATGTAGCTCAAATGGTAGAGCGCTCGCTTTGCATGCGAGAGGCACGGGGTTCGATCCCCCGCATCTCCACTATATTTATTTTCAACTTTTTGTTTACACAAAAAAGAAGAGATTCTTTTAAAATTTAAACACTAGAAAGAAGAGTAGAACAGAGACAAGTTGTTTGTTCTCTTTGTTCCCAAAAGTTTCTCTTAAACCCTAGAAAGAGTGGAGAGAGAGCCAACGAGTCTCCTTTTATTTAATTCAACACAAAGAACAAAACAGCAATTGATTTCATCACAAACTTAGAAATGTAAACTGTTTCTTCAATAAACAGAAAATGGAACATTCACAAGAGCAAAAACAAACAAAAGATAGTTTTCCATAAAAAAAAAATCACATCAAACATATTTTCAAGTTATCTAGCTCCAGGGGCAAACTCTGAAGCAGAAGAGTGACTATAGTCAAATGAGCCCATTGAGTTCATCGTTGCACTACCTTGTCTCCTTGCAATTTCCAAGGCCACACACTCGTTAAGCTCCATAACCACATGTGCCATTGTTGGTCTCCGGTTCGAAGACGGGTTCACACAAGCCAGAGCCAGCTCCACAATCTTCCACGCACCGTTTGTGTCAAAGTCCCCCATCAGCTTCGGGTCAACAATGCTCTTGATATCTCCTTTGGTAAGCATGAAACCAACCCATTCATTGATGTGAGGTCTCTCTCTGGTTTTCTCTATCACAGGCTGGTTTGTGACTATCTCTAACAGCACTACACCAAAGCTGTACACGTCACTCGTCTCGCTTAGCCAGTTTGTTCTGTAGTACCTGAAAAGAGGTGTAACATTCTTCATTACTCATTTGAAGAAACACCAACAAACATAAGTGATAGTTAACTGATTGATTCACTCACTCAGGGTCTAGGTAACCAGGTGTTCCTGCAACGACTGTCATGACATTAGATTCTCCATCGAGTGGGAAAGATCTAGAGAGACCAAAGTCGGCTAGTTTTGCTCCAGACCGCTCATTCAATAAGATGTTTGTAGTTTTCACATCTCTATGGACCATAGGAGGCCTACATCCATTGTGCAGATACTCCAATCCTGTCATAGATGGTTTTGTTTCTGTCAATCTTGCTTTCTTACACCTTAAAACAGAACATCAAGAAGCAAAATGAATTAGACAAAGGTAGAGAGACTAAGTCGATTTTTGTTCACCTTGCGCTGCTTCTACAGCTATTTGCATCCTGTTTTCCCAGGTTAGGACATTGCCTCCACGTTTCCCTGTATTTGGATTTGAATGTGAAAAACTATGGAAGGAGATGGACTCAACCAAATCGAAGTCTCTTTAGTTAAGAAGTGTTTACCTAACATATTCTCCCTCAGGTCTCCGTTTGCCATGTATTCATAGATCAAGGCCAAGTTATCTCCATCATCACAGTAACCAACAAGCCCCACTAAATGTCTATGGTGAACTCTCAAAAGAAGCTCCACCTAATAAAGATAACAAAATGACCACTTCATAAACATAATGCCATTCGAAAACATAGTGCCACTAATGTTTTGTTAAAGTACCTCTGCTTTGAATTCTTTATAACCTTGAGCTGATGAATGAGAGAGCATTTTCACAGCTACCTCAGCATTATCCAAGTTTCCATGATACACTGTTCCAAACCCTCCTTTGCCAAGAACTCTCTCGAAGTTGTTTGTCATCTTCAGTACCTCGGGGTAAGTGATCCTGCGGTCCTTTGTTATGATTGATGGATTGGATGATCTTGTCTCAGCGTTAACACTACGGTTAGTGGCTGATGGTGGTGTCCCTGGAGCTGTAAATTCGTACAAAAATAACTGAAATGAACAGAGTAATAAACAGACAAGTTCTCATTTTTCATTGATCTCTTGTGATTCATATACCTTTTCCACTAATCTCAAGACCCTCCTCAGTAGTTTTCCCCTTTTTCCTTCTAACGACGAAGAAGATGGCCACGATAACAATCAGAACAAACACTCCAGCCACTGATGCTCCGATAGCAACCATTGGAACCTTGCTACTCTCGCTTTTTGGACTCAGGGCTTCACCCAAACTGTAAGCATTAAAAGTGATGGCACTATATGTAAGTCTTGCTGAAGGAAATCTAATTTACTTTCCAAATGTCTTGAAACAAAATTTGAGATTGAATAAAGTATGATCATCTTACATTAGTGTCAAAGATTTGCTTTTTACCATTTCCAGAAGAGAGTCTGGAATCGTCATATTAAGCTTCGGGTTCCCGCTTAAGTTTCTGTTAATGAAGAAAAAAAGCTGAATCTTTCAGAGCAGAACAAAAAGAGGACTAAGACGAGAGAGGTTGTGAAAAGAAAGCTTACATGAGTTTCAACAACTTCATATCAGCAAAAAACACTGGAATCTCTCCTGATAAGTCATTCCTTGACAAATCTCTGCCCATTAAACAGAGAAAGAAAATATTTTTATTGGTGTTACAAACAAGAATGGTGTTAATATTGAATACTAAGTTTATTGATGTTACAATCAGATACTTACAGCTCTACCAACTGTGTAAGCTTGGATATGTCAGATGTTATGGTACCTGTCAATCCACTCCCATTCAAGTTCCTATTGTTTGTGAAACAGAACCAAAGAAAAGTTTCCATAAAAGTTAGAATTTTTTGGAGAGTCAAAAAACTAGATAACTTTGTCATGAAGAAATACAGAACATACAAGGATATGATCCGTGATGACTCGGTGTTTGAGTAACTGCAATTCAAACCTTCCCACCGAAAAACCTGAGGAGCACAAGGATCTCCTTGCCAGCTTATCTTTTTGCTCAAACCATACGTCTTCTTGAGGTTCATCATAGCAGAAACTGATCATCACATTCAAACACATCTCAGAAACCATACAAAAAAGTTTAAAAGATAACATTTTGATTAAAGAATGGCACAAGAAAATGATTCTTACCTTCACTCTTCTCTGTCTCCAGCTGTAGAATGTCTACAACTGTATAAATCTCCAAGGCGTTGATAAGTGGAGGAAGAGTGGAGTTACCGGTCTTTGCGAAAGTGAAATTAAATAGCCCATCTTTAGATTTCACGGCGCTTGGATTGAAGATGGTTGTAATGCTTTGTTTGGCAGGCCTAAAATAGCTGTACCAAGGCGTGCCATCATTGTAAGTAATGTCGAATTCTCTGATGTCACTGGCGTTCAGGGCCTGGATCTCGGCGATATGCATATATATGTACGACTTCGCAGATGCGTCGTCAATAGTCCACGAGAAGTGCCATGGCTTACTAGCGTCCACAGGGACGGCAGCAGTCTTCATCACGGCTTGAGGCACCTCGTAGAAGTTGTTTGTATTCACGGAGAGCTCGGTGCTTATAGAGGCGGTTTTATCATCTGTGTATGTATCCCAGACTCGGTCACTCAAGTCCTCATCGTACCTGAATAGAAAAGAGAGTCTCTTTCTTCTTTGTTAAACTCAAAAACAGAACACAAAGAACAAAAAAAGTATGAAACTTTCTGTTGCTTAAGAGATTACCTGATGAATGATGCTGAAGCGGATGGAAAGTATACTCTGGCGGACAACTTCAGTGATCCGCTTTCCGTGACGTAACTTTCATTGCTCAATGGACGAAACTCAAGTGAAGAAATGAATGGCGTCGTCGGTCCTGTCTTCACAAGACAGACTTGAAGATGGTCTTGTGTAACGACATGGATTATCTCGTGCATTGAAGTGTTTGTTGCTCCTCGTATTTTGACAGAAGACCAATTGCTAGCACCAATGTGAAGGTCAAAGCTTGGGAGTTGATTCAGGCCATCGTAATTCCCGTACATGAATGTTCCTCTGATCAGATATTTGCGGTTGGTTGTTAGGTTGAAGAAGTTGTAACAGTTTCTTTGACCCTCAGGGAAGCTTCTCAAGGACCATGTTTGTTGCTGAAACAGAGTCTTGTATGCGTCGTTGATCTTCCCTGGTAGTCCACTGTCGATGTAATCTGCGTCTGATTTGTATGTTATATTCGTCGTCTTCTCCACATAAGTAGTTTCCTTAGGCACCAATCCACAATCCAAGCTGATGAATCCTGCTCATGATCAAACAACCAGAAATATAATCAAAACAGAGTAAGCAAAAACAGAGTAATCAAAAACAGAGTCTTGTATTTTTTTCAAGAACCTGCTTGATTTTGAGCTTCAACTGATATTGAAACGGTAATAGTTATGATCAAGAGAAGCAAAAGCCAATCAAGAGACTTCATTTTCTTGGATAGGTGATCAGATTCAGAGGATACTACTATAATTCAAAATGTTCATTTCTGTTGATTAACAACAGCAACAACAAAAAATGAGAGAACAAAAATATAGGTCAACTTAATTGGGTCTAATTGGTTCTGCCAAGTCTTCAAAATTAGTTTATTCAGGTGATTGTTAAAGTACCCTTACTTGCCTACGACATTCTTTCTGGTTTCAGGCGTGGGAAAATTCAAATTATACAACTTTAAAATATATAAAATCAACCAAAAATTATTAAAGAAACAAAGGGAGAATGAGTAAAGCTTGTCACTTGCAGTTGTTTTCCAAAAAAACACTGTTAACATCAGAGGCAACAGAACAATATACAAATATTTGCTTTTCTTTTTCTAAAAACAAAATCAGTCTTAATTATTAAAAGGTTACAAATTGTAATTTTCATAACTAGAATCCTAGTTATGTTGGAAATATTTAACAAAACTGGGTGTTTTTTTAAAGGAATGAGTCCATTTTGGCAATCGTGATAACTACATTGCCTACAATTACAAAGAGCTGACTTCGATTATCTAATATTGTTGCCGCATCTCGATATATTTAACGACCACCATTGACACTTGAAGTTATTTTACAATCAAATGGTTGATTTAAAATTTTAAATCTAATTATAACCAAGATTGAAGAATAGGTGCAATTATCCAAGAAAATAATACAAAAAGAAAACATATTAATTATGGGCTAACATAATCCAAAAACATTTACCTTGATTTTAATTATGGGCCCGATCTAGTCCAAGCCCATATCGCACAAACAGCCCGATGAGTGCATTTTCGGAATATAGTTCATCATCGTCTCTTCTTCTCTCACGGCGGAGCAGCTCACTGAATTGCGGCGGAGCAGAGACTGCCTCCTCCGCAGTCACCGGATACTGAATTGACTGGATCATCTCTGGCTCAACTGTATCTCCGATTAACTCGCATTTGTCTCCATTTTACGACACGGCCTGCAACAACGAAGATCGAAGAAAATCCGATCACCCTCTCCATCTCTTGTAAGCTTCTAATAGATTTCGATTTCGTTTGCTGAAGAATCCCAACATTGTCAAGAGTTAATGTAACCCTTGGGTTTCTCACGATTTAGGCTGAAGCGAAAAAGATGTTTGTTCTTCTCTTTTCCTTCTCCGAAGATTTTTAGATTTTGGAATTTATTTTAGGTGACGATTAGATAAATAAATTAAAAAAAAAAAAAAAAAAAAAAAACCAAAAAAGTCTCCTTCTTTTCTTTTCTTAATTCAACACAAAGAACAAACCAATCACAGCTAAACAAACATAGTTTTTGTTATCATCCGGAAAAAAAAAAAATAGAATTGTACATTGCTTCTTCATAAAGGTAATTTATCTGGCTCCAGGGGCAAAATCAGAAGCAGAAGAGAGACTGATTTTAAATGAGCCCAATGAGTTCATCTTTTCACTACCTTGTCTCCTTGCAACTTCCAAGGCCACACACTCGTTTAGCTCGGTCACAACGTGTGCCATTGTTGGTCTCCGGTTCGAAGACGGGTTTACACAAGCCAGAGCCAGCTCCACAACCTTCCACGCACCGTTTGTATCATAATCATCCTTCAGTTCCGGGTCCACAATACTCCTGATGTCTCCATTTGTGAGCTTGAAACCAACCCATTCTGTTATGTGAGGTTCCTCTCTGTTTTTATCTATCACGGGCTGGTTTGTGATGATCTCTAACAGCACAACACCGAAGCTGTACACGTCACTCGTCTCACTTAGCCAGTTTGTTCTGTAATACCTGAAAGAGTGTATAACATTCTTCATTACTCATTTGAAGTAACACAACAAACGTAAGTAATGATTGTAACTGATTCATTTGAGTCACTCACTCAGGGTCTAGGTAACCAGGTGTGCCCGCCACCGCTGTCGAGACATGACCTTGGCCATCGATTGCGAAAGATCTCGATAGCCCAAAGTCGGCTAGTTTCGCTTGAGACCGCTCATTCAATAAGATGTTGCTGGTTTTCACATCTCTATGTACCATAGGAGGCTCACATCCATTGTGCAGATACTCCAATCCTGTCACAAAATGGTTATGTGTTTATGTCAAATTATCTTCAACCGTGTAATGGTCGAAAAAAAACACCAAAATTTTCTTCACCTTGGGCTGCTTCTACAGCTACTTGCATTCTAGATTCCCAGCTTAGGATATTCCCACCACATTTTCCTGTATTGGTTTTTTTATTAAATGCATGGGACTAATTGATCTGCACCGAATCAGAGTCATTTAGATAAAGTGTTTACCTGACATATTCTCCTTGAGGTCTCCATTTGCCATGTATTCATAGATGAGAGCCAAGTTCTCTCCATCATTGCAGTACCCAACAAGTCCCACCAGATGTCTGTGATGAACTCTGGAAAGGAGTTCAACCTAAGAAACATAACAACATGACCATTTCATGTTTTAGACAAACTTTTAAAGAAAAACAAAGATTAATAGGAAGTGCGCATCTTTTTAAAAGTACCTCTGCTTTGAATTCTTTATAACCTTGAGCTGATGAACGAGAGAGCATTTTCACAGCACTTGCGTATCATCCAAGTTTCCATGATACACTGTTCCAAAGCCTCCTTTGCCAAGAACTCTCTCGAAGTTGTTTGTCATCTTCAGTACCTCGGAGTACGTTGTGATCCTGAGGTCCTTTGTTATGATTGTTTGATTGGATGACCTTGTCCCATTTTTAACTATGCCGGTGGTACAAAAATATGTGAAATGAATAGGCTAAAATCAAAAACAAAGAAAAACATGTGAAATGTATAGACTAATCAAAACCCTACTTTTCCTTTTTTTCCTTCTAACGACGAAAAAGATGACTATCAGTGTCAGTGTCAGCACCACAGCCACTGACACTGCAATAGCAACCACTGGAACCTTTTCATTCTCTTTTCTTGGAGTTTCTCTCAAACTGTAATCATTAAAAGAATAAGGAGATATGATATATTTAGTATGGCACTACATGTAAGCATTTTTGCAGAGAGTACAACATAGTTTCATTTGAGACTGAATCAATTGAAGTAGGAACATCTTACATCAGTGTCAAAGAATTTCTCTTTAACCTTCTCTGAAGAGATTCTGGAATTATGGTGTTAAGATTCGGATTTCCATTTAATTTTCTGCAAATGAAAAAAACAAACTAAAGCTTTCAGAACAAAACAATAAACTAAAGCAGAGAGAGTGTGTTGGTATAATAATCTCACATGAGTTTCAACGACTTCATATCAGCAAGAAAATCTGGAATATCTCCTGATAAGTCGTTATTTGATAAATCTCTGTCCATTCGAGAGAGAAAGAGAGAAAAACAAATTGTGCAGAGTTATATACTTGTCACACTGCCATGAATCATATCATATACTCTAAAGACACTCACAGCTCTATCAACTGTGTTAGCTTGGAAATTTCAGGTGTTATGGTACCAGTCAACTGGTTCTCTGTCAAGTTCCTAGTGAAGCCAAAAGAGTTAGTAGAATTTTGTGAAACTCAGAAACTGAAAGAAGCTTGAGATGAACAGACAAAACATACAAGGTTAGGATCCGAGGTGACTCAGAGTCTATATAACTGCAGTTTAAACCTTCCCACCGATATAACTCAGGAGCACATGGATCTCCTTGCCAGCTAATCTTTTTGTTTAACTCATAACTTGTCTTGATGTTTACCATAGCAGAAGCTGGTCAATCATCAGTTCATAAACCAAGCAAAACAAGAAGTCAAAGGACACAAACGTTTTGATAAAATGTAGGAATTTTAGTGAACATGCATGCTTGAATAACCTTCATCTTGGTCTGTGTCGAGCAGTGGAAGTTTTAAGACTTGATAAACCTCGAAGGCATTGATAAGAGGAGGACGAGTCGAGTTACGGGTCCTCTTGAAGGTCAAATTAAAGTTCCCATCTAGAGAACTTACAAGTTGTGGATTGGATAGAGTTTTTATGCTGAACTTTGGAGGCCTAAAGTTCGACATAAATCTTTGGCCACCGTTATAAGAAATGTTGAATTCTCTGATCTCATCAGCTTCAAGATTCTGGATTTCAGCGAAATGCATGTATACATATAACAGTGCATTGGTGTCGTTGAATTTCAAATAAAATGTCAGAGGCTGGCTATCATTTGCAGGCACACAAGCACTCTTAGCCACAACTTGTGGCACATCGTAGGAATAAGTACTTGTATTGACGAAAAGGTCAGTACTTATAGACCTTCTTTGGTCGGTGCTGTTAAAATCTGGAACCCATACTCGGTCATGGATGTCTTCATCATACCTATAAAAGAAGACACAGTCAACACAAAGAACAAAACAACAACTACAAATATAAAACCTTTGAGGAATCATTCTTTACCTGACGGCCAATAAAGTGGGTGGATAGTAGATTCTTCCGAATAAAATCAACGATCTACCGCTTTGCGGGTACATTCCTCTGGGCAACCGACGAAGTTCCAAGGAGGAAATAAACGGTGTCGTTTCTCCTGTCTTAACAAGACAAACTTGAAGACGGTCTTGTGTTAAGACATGGATCATCTCGTGGAACGAAAGAGTTGCTACTCCTCCCAATTTAACAGGAGTCCATTTATTAGGACCAATGTGAAGATCAAAGCTTGGGAGTTGACTCCGACCGTCATAGTTCCCATACAGAAAGGTTCCTCTGATCAGATATTTGCGGTCAGCTGTGAGGTTGAAGTTGTAACAGTTTCTTTCACCTTCAGGGAAGCTTCTTAAGTTCCAAGCCTGTTGCTGTAAAGTCGATTTGTATACATCATTGATACTCCCGACGAATCCATTATCGATGTAACTCGCATCTGATTTGTATGTTATATTCGTCGTCCTCTCCGTAAAAGTTTCGTTCGTAGGGACCAGCCCACAAGCCAAACTGATGAATTCTGTTCATGGTCAACATTATTAAATTCTAAAACTTTTTTTTTTAATGAATCAAAGCATCAAAAGTAGGAAGAAAAAAGAAAACAGGGTTAGAACCTGACTGATCTTGAGCTGGAACTGATTCAAAAACGCCATAAGATGTGATCAAGAGGAGCAAAAATGCATGAAAAGACCTCATTTTTTTCTGTCTTTTTGTTTTTATTTTTGTGGTGGGTGCTCTGTTTTCAGAGGAGGCTATAATACGTCATTGTTCATTGTTCTAGATTGGCGAAGACTGAGATACAAATTTTATTGGTCAATTCATTTGTTGTTTAGCTGTGTAATATTACAATCCTAATTAATTCCACAAATGAGGCTACAAGTCATTGTTCATTTTTCAATGGCGAAAACTGAGATAACATCGTACTGGTCAACTTGTTTAGCCGTGTGGTATTACAATCCTAAATCCCACAAAGGCTACAAGTCATTGTTCCTTGCTCTAGATTGGCGAAATCTGAGATGACTTTGTACTTGTCAATACATTTTTTGTTTAGCTGTGTGGTATTACAATCCTATATCCCACAAATGGGCCGCACCGATGTGACAGCCGTAAGAAGAAACATGGAGTAGTGGCCTTATTGGAATTTTCTTCTTCGGCTCTGTCTCTGTCTCTGGTAATTCATTTGGCTCTGGCGTTGATTTTATCAGGGACGACTCTATGACTACACACGTAAACTCATATGGTCTTTCTCTTAGGTACTAAATTTAAATATCAATTTCTTGTGATCCAAGAAAGTTACACATAAGAAATGCTCTTACTTTTTGAGCCATCTTTGAGATTACAATATGAAGTATCTGCTATAATAAACAGCATAGTAGCTTCAAAATCACAACAAATCAAAGACTTTCAATTTCATCTCGCTCTAGGGCCAAAATCAGAAGCAGAAGATGAGCTAAACAGAGCAGAACCCTTTGGGAACATATCTTCACTACCTTGTCTTCTTGCAATTTCCAAGGCCACACACTCGTTTAGCTCCATCACAACGTGTGCCATTGTTGGTCTCCGGTTCGAAGATGGGTTCATACAGGCCAGAGCCAGCTCTACAATCTTCCACGCACCGTTTGTGTCATAGTCCCCCATGAGTTTCGGGTCAATGATGCTCCTGATGTCTCCTTTGGTGAGCATGAAGCCAACCCATTCATTGATGTGAGGTTTCTCTCGGTTTTTATCTATCACAGGCTGGTTTGTGACTATCTCTAACAGCACAACACCGAAGCTGTACACATCACTCTTCTCGCTTAGCCAGTTGGTTTTGTAGTATCTGAAAGAGAGAGAGAGAAAGATTACTATAATTCACATTCTTCATTTACTACAGGGTCACTCACTCAGGGTCTAGGTAACCAGGTGTTCCAGCAACGACTGTCATGACATTAGATTCTCCATCGACTGGGAAAGATCTAGATAGCCCAAAGTCAGCTAGTTTTGCTTGAGACCGCTCATTCAATAAGATGTTTGTAGTTTTCACATCTCTATGGACCATAGGAGGTATACTTCCATTGTGTAGATACTCCAATCCTGATACAATAAATGGTTATTGTTAATATCAATTCTGCTTTCAGACATCATAAAACAGAACATTCCAGAGACAAGATTATAGTTTTGTATGTTCACCTTGTGCTGCCTCTACAGCTATTTGCATTCTGTTTTCCCAGGTTAGAACATTGCCTCCACGTTTCCCTGTATTTGGTTTTGAATGTTTAACACTATTGGAGGGAACTAAATCAGAGTCTGATTAGTTAAAAAGTGTTTACCTTGCAGATTCTCTCTTAGGTCTCCGTTTGCCATGTATTCATAGATCAAAGCGAATTTATCTCCATCATCACAGTAACCAACAAGTCCCACCAAATGCCTATGGTGAACTCCTAAAAGAAGCTCAACCTAATAAAGAAAACAAGATTGAGAAACTTAATGCCATTTTGAAACACGAAGACTTGACGGAGCTATGTCTTGTTGAAGTACCTCTGCTTTGAACTCTTTATAACCTTGAGCTGATGAATGAGAGAGCATTTTCACAGCTACTTGAGCATCACCCAAGTTTCCATGATACACTGTTCCAAAGCCACCTTTACCAATAACTCTCTCGAAGTTGTTTGTCATCTTCAGTACCTCGGGATACGTGATCCTGCGGTCTTTTGTTATGATTGATGGAGGTCCCGGAACTGTGAAAAGATATGAGAAACGAATAAACTAGAATCAGAAAGGTTTCATATTTTACTAATCTCAAGAATCTTATCTTGTGATTTCATACATACCCTCAGTACTTTTTCCATTTTTCCTTCTAACGACGAAAAAGATGGCCAAGATAACCAGGAGAGCAAACACTCCAGCCACTGATGCTCCGAGAGCAATCATTGGAACCTTGTTACTCTCTTTTCTTGGAGCTGTAATGGTTACAGTTTTACTCAAACTGTATTTGTTAAAAGTGTTTGGGAAAAGGAAATATGAAGTTTAGTTTGGCATTACAGGCAAGCAAACATATCTGAGAGTAGATCTAGTGAAGCATAAAACATCTTACATTATTGTTAAAGATTTGTTGTTTAATCTTTCCTGAAGAGAGTCTGGAATTGTGATATTGAGTTTCAGATTCCCACTTAAGTTTCTGCAAATGAGAAAAAAAAAAACTCAAGCTTTCAGAAAAAAAAAACAAATTAAAGCAGAGAGAGTCTGTTGGTATAAGAAGCTCACATGAGTTTCAACGACTGCATATCAGCAAAAAACTCTGGAATCTCTCCTGATAAATCATTCTTTGATAAATCTTTGTCCATGAAAATGTTTTTGCAGAGTTAGATACTTGATACTTCTCCTACCGCGATAAAGCATTGAGAACAGAACAATAAAACAAAGCAGAGAGAGTGTGTTGGTATAAGAAGCTCACTACACTCACATGAGTTTCAACGAGTTCATATCAGCAAGAAACTCTGGAATCTCTCCTGATAAATTATTTTTTGATAAATCTCTGTCCATTAAATAGAGAAAGAAAACGTTTTTGCAGAGTTATATGCTAGCAACATATTGAATACTTTTTAAGTTTTTTTGGTGTGACAATTCAGGTAACTTACAGCTCTATCAACTGTGTTAGCTTGGATATTTCAGATGTGATGGTACCGGTCAAGTTACTCTCTGTCAAGTTCCTAATATCCTCAAACAATAAAGTATCCAAAAGAGTTAGTAGAATTTACGAAACCTCGGAGATGTAAGAACTTTGAGATGAACAAACAAAATATACAAGGTTATGATCCGCGGTGACTCGGAGTCTGGATAACTGCAGCTTAAACCTTCCCACCGATATAACAGAGGAGAACATGGATCTCCTTTCCAGCTAACCTTTATGCTCAACTCATAACTTGTCTTGATGTTTACCATAGCAGAGACTGATCAATCATCACATTTTAAAACCAGACAAGATGTCAAAACACATAAAATCTTGGTAACAGAATGGGTTTAAGAACATGCTTAAATTACCTTCATCTTGATCTGTGTCACGCTGCAGGAGGTCTAAGACTTTATAAACCTCGAGGGCATTGATAAGAGGAGGAAGAGTCGAGTTACCGGTCATGGCAAAAGTGAAACTGAAATTCCCATCTGGAGAACTCAAAGGTGCTGGATTGTATACAGTTGTTATACTGAGTTTTCGAGGCCTAAAATAGGTGTACCAGTTTTTACCACCGTTATAAGTAATGTTGAATTCCCTGATCTCATCATCACCAAGATCTTGTATTTCAGCAAAATGCATGTATATATATGACTGTGCATTAATGTCATCGAGAGACCAGTCTAAAGTCAGAGGCTGACTAGCATTTGCAGGCACACCAGCAGTTTTTGCCACAGGTTGTGGCACATTATACAAGTTACTTGTATTGACCAAAAGGTCTGTGCTTATTGTCACTGTTTGGTTATCTAACTGTCGAAGCCAGGTACGGTCATAGATGTCCTCATCATACCTAAAAAAAGGAAAAATAAAAAATGCTCTTTCTTTGTTAACTCCACACAACGAACAAATACAAAACCTTTCTTGAATCATCATTCTATACCTAACAAACAATGGCGTGGGTGAGAAGTAAACTCTTGAGACGGCAATCAAAGATCCACTTTGCGTGACGTATGTTTCATTGTGCAACGGACGAAGCTCCAGTGACGAAATAAACGGTGTTGTGTCTCCTGTCTTGACAAGACAAACTTGAAGACGGTCTTGTTTTAAGACATGGATCATCTCGTGGATCGAACTATTTCCTACTCCATCCAGCTTAACAGAAGTCCATTTGTTAGGACCAACGTGAAGATCAAACTTAGGGATTTGATTCAGACCGTCGTAATTCCCATACACAAAGGATCCTCTGATCAGATATTTGCGGTTTCCTGTGAGGTTTAAGAAGTTGTAACAGTTTCTTTGACCTTCAGGGAAGCTTCTTAAGGTCCAAGCCTGTTGCTGAAACAGAGTCTTGTATGCATCATTGATCCTCTCGACGGATCCACTATCGATGTAATTCGCATCTGATTTGTATGTTATGTTCGTTGTCCTCTCCGTATAAGTTTTGTCCTTAGGGACCAACCCACAAGCCAAACTGATGAATTCTGTTCATGGTCAACAAGTTTCAAAAGAGTTTCTTAATCTGCAGAGGAATCAAAGCATCGAGATTTCATAAAGAAAACAAAAACAGAGTAAGAACCTGACTGATCCTGAGCTTGAACTGATTCAAAAATGCAATAAGCTGTGATCAAGAAGAGCAAAAAGCCATGTAAAGGCTTCATTTTTTTAATTTTTTACTCTGTTTTGCGGTGGCCTGATTTAGAGGATGTTATGATTCATTATTGTTCAGTGTTCTATACTTCTTAATTAATTTGGCTCTCATAGGTTGTTTATCTTTGTACTAAGTCTTCAGCATTAGATTATTTAGCTTATTATTTACAGTACCATCTACGTGCCTGCCACACTCTTTTGGTTTCAGGCGTTGGAGCGTGTTCACCTTCAAATGATCAATTCGTAAATTAGTGGTGCACTTGCAATTAAGAAAAACTGATATCAAATTATAGCATCATGGTCTTTGCTCTGAAATTGGATTTTATAGCATCACTAGTCAATTACTTGTGAAGCAAGTTAGACATAATATATCCAGGCAGCTATACTTATTCGGAACAACCACATGCTCTATGTAGAGAGTTATCTCTGTCAAATATGAGCAATCGATTCTTGTAAACAAACATAGCTTTCACAACACGTCAAAGACTTTTCAATCTCACCTCGCTCTAGGTGCAAAATCAGAAGCAGAAGATGAGCTAAACTCAATAGAATTCTTTGGGAACATATCTTCACTACCTTGTTTCCTTACGAGTTCAAAGGAAAGACACTCGTTTAGCTCCATCACCACATGTGGCATCGTCGGTCTGCGGTTCGAAGACGGGTTTACACAGGCTAGAGCCAACTCCACAACCTTCCACGCACCGTTTGCATCATAATCCTCCTTCAGTTTCGGGTCCACAATACTTCTGATGTCCCCATTTGTGAGCTTGAAACCAACCCATTCCGTAATATGAGGTTTCTCTCTGTTTTTATCTATCACAGGCTGGTTTGTGACTATCTCTAACAACACTACACCGAAGCTGTAAACATCACTCTTTTCGCTTAGCCAGTTTGTTCTGTAGTACCTGACATATTGTATCACTCATAGTGTTCATTACTACACTTGAGTGACAAAACTGATTGATTCTCACTCACTCAGGGTCTAAGTAACCAGGTGTTCCTGCAACAACTGTCATGACATGAGATTCGCCATCGATAGGGAAAGATCTTGATAGTCCACAATCAGCTAGCTTCGCTTGAGACCGCTCGTTCAATAAGATGTTTGTAGTTTTCACATCTCTATGAACCATAGGAGGCCTACATCCATTGTGAAGATACTCCAGTCCTGTCACAAAATAGTTATTGTTTTGCTTTAAGACATCATAAAACAGAACATTCCAGAGACAAGATTATAGTTTTGTGTGTTCACCTTGTGCTGCCTCTACAGCTATTTGCATTCTTGTTTCCCAGCTTAATACACTCCAGCCACGTTTCCCTGTATTGTATTTTGAATGTTTCAAGTTTTTGATTTTAGAGATGTATTGGAATATGCCCAAATCAAAGTCACTTAGTTGAAAAAACTTTTACCTTACATATTCTCTCTTAGGTCTCCGTTTGCCATAAATTCATAGATTAAAGCTAATTTGTCTCCATCATCACAGTAACCAACAAGTCCAACCAAATGTCTATGGTGGACTCTTGAAAGAAGCTCCACCTAATAAAGATAACAAGATTGAGAAACTTGATGCCATTTTAAAAACATAGTGCTATTATTGACTTGTTTTGAAGTAAGTACCTTTGCTTTGAACTCTTTATAACCTTGAGCTGATGAATGAGAGAGCATTTTCACAGCCACTTGATCATCACCCAAGTCTCCATGATACACTGTTCCAAACCCTCCTTTACCAAATGACTCGTGCATTTACCCGGGAAACACAAAATTGAAATAATGAAAGATTTACCGTTGACTCTTACTGGTAGGTTTGGGCCCATATACAACAAATGGGCCATATCAGCGTGTTGAAAATGAAACGGAGAGTAAGGGCATTTTGAGAATTTGCTCTTCCTCGCACAAGACCCTTCTCTCTCACGGCGGAGCTCGCACTGTAACGCGGCGGAGCAGATAAAACTTCCGATGCTGCCACCGGAGTTTCGGACATAACTGTCTGTAAATTACTTTATCGACCATCGTGACTCAATACTTGACCCATAACTACGCTTTTAACTCCATTTTACGGCAGGACCTACAACAATGAAGATCCGATCCATGCATCCTCTTGTAACCTTCATATTGATTTCGATTACGAATTTGCGACATACCTTTTGTCCTTGATTTCTTCCCCTTTGTCTTTCTTGGGGAACTTCAAGGCTTGGGCCTAATTGTCGCCTTGGGGATATGTAAAGTTTTTTAAACATCTGTTTTTCTGGTTTTTGACCCAAACATGACTTATGATTTGTCGTCACTAATGGTTTTTACTCTTATCATTTATTTTTGCTTAACGAAACAGGCTAAAATATCATGTATCAAAAAGTTTATATAAATATCATTTGATGATTCCAAATATCTAATAGTCCTATCAATTTAGTTTACAAAATATCATTTGATGATTCCAAATATTCTTATTCTTACAACCAAGAGGAATTTAGTTATGTTTCAACTTTCAAAGAACCAGTTTAAATTTTGTAAAAATAAAAATAAAAAATAAAAAAAATCCGAATCTACAAGAGAAATAATCCTTCAAAACACACCATCAAGGCAGAGAACATCGCATAATCCAAATGCATGGACCTTATTATACACGCAAACATAGTAAACGCTGAAAAGCTTATTCAAGACTCCAAGTGACACAAATCCAAAAGCATGGACCTTATTTTACAAAACCAAAGAAAAAAAAAGGAAACTAAAGCATAATTCTGTAAGATAGCACGAGGCACGACATGGACTCCGATGTTGATGAACCAAAGCTTTTCCAACGATCTTGTAACTTTCCTTCTTAAGCTCCTTCATTACCACCTCCGTGTGACTCCAACTTTTGTGGTCCATCAGATTTGGTCTCGAAGTAGGCCCCAATGGCATCAATAGCCTGACCACTGCGTCCAAAGAATCCAACAAGCTTTCCTCCACTTTCACCTTTGAGCAAGAATTCTGTTCCACTCGTTTTTCCGAATTTCGGAGATGTTCTTCCAGTGCTGAGTTCGAAGTATAGCGACGTGATAAGCGTTGTATCATACGTAAAAATATGATCGTAGCTTCCACCAACGGATATGATATTTTCTTTCGGATAAGCCACTAAAAACTGGATTTCATTTTTTTCATTAGAAACACGAATTAATAGCGATTCATCAAATACTAGAGAAACAAATTTCACGTGTATTTTTATTTATTTTGACCTCTTTTATTTCCCCTCGTTTCGTCCCGTGACTAACGATTTCGGCTCTTCCTTCTTTTTCATTTGCGTATAAGACCTCGATATAAGTTATACTGAATTCATCTGCCGCGACAGTTACTTTCATCACATCGGTGGAAACACCATCGTCGAATGGAGACCCCTTGTCACCACCAACAGGTCCAACCTTTTCGAACATTGCTTAAATCTCTTAACCTCAAAGAAAACCTGAAAGATTCTAATTATTGTATATATTTAAACAGAGGAGAATCATCACAAGGAAAAAAATTGGAGTTTAGCACATCATACGAGAAACATGTACAATAATAAGCACATAGTTTTAGTTTTAGTATGCTTCTCCTTATATTTGCAACTAAATTTTTTCTTTGTTGAATATCAAATTAGATAGATAACACCCTACTATTCTCTTTCTATTCATAAGTATAACTACGTATAATTTCAATAATTTGAGCCAACAATTTGCTTCATATAGCTATCCATTAACAAAAAATAAAACAAAATTATGCATGGAATGATGGAAAAACCATGCATAATAACAAAACCAAGAACGAAAACCTAGAGAATTAATGCATGTCGACAAAAATTGTGCATTGATAAATGAAAAGGAAACTGAGAGAGAGTACGTACCTGATTGGAGGATGATGAAGAGGAGAGTGAGTTGCAAGAATAGGGGTGCCAAATGGAATCATATTTATAGCCATTTTCGGAACAATGTTGGATACTGTTTAGTTATAAGTCACATGGGTGGCAAATGGCAATGTGGTTTTTTTACGCAACCGTCATCGTGTGTTTGAATGATTGGTCCCTGCAGGGTCAGATTCTGCGTTTTCGTAAAGCTAAACAGAGAAACTGCGATCCCCAATATCTCACCTCACGTGATATTTTTTTCAACACCGATCAATCTAAACTGAAAACTAATAATAATCTGCCACGTTTAGGTCATTCACTTTCTATAAGACTCTCCGAGCGGTGGTGGTGTAATTCGTTCTTCAAAAACCTTTTTTTCCTTTACCTCACCCTTCTCTTTTATTTTGTTTTAATGGTCCCCGATGTCCATGGCGTGCATCTTACGTCTAACCAAAGCCACATACTCTATACGAATGTTTTCTTGTCACTAAACTCTACATAAATGTTTCACGTGGATCTTTAACGAAATAAAAAAATGCTTCACGTGAAATCTTCAGCTGTACCAAAAATTTAGGTGTGATTCATAACCACTTATCGTTACATTAAAAAATATATACTGTTTTAATAGTTTTTATCATCTATAATATGCACACAAAAAAGTGTGAACATTAGAGATTATATTTCAAACCTATTCCTTTTCCAAAAATAAACAGCTATATTTAGCATATGCAAGTTTATGTTGTCTACTTGTCTTGGAGCACAATTATAACTATTGTCAAGCAAATTAGTGGGGAAGTGGAAAGTGGTGCTCCGATAATCATTGAGAAAATCCAGTAAAACAAGCGCTCAAATAAATGAGTTCCGAAACAAAAATTACTTAAAAAAATGAATTGCTAAATGTTTTTCAATATGTGAAAATCCAAAAAAATAAATAAACAAATCAATCTTTCAAACAAAATGAGTATGAAGTAATGGTTAAAAAGGCATACGTTGTTGTGTCCTAAGGGCTTTAAACTGAGCAGCAATTTGGTCGTAGTCAGGAAGCTTAGGGTGAACATGCTTGGGTAACAATCTTCTTCTTAATTCTTCTTCTTCTTCTTCATTCTTCACTCTAAACACATTGTAGACTATATGGTAACAATTTCGTGATGATCTTCTCCTTCTCCGGATCCTTTTCTGCTTCTTATAATACCTCAAACATTCCATATCCTTAAACTCTCCTGATGATGATAATGATGATGATCTATCTCCTTCACTACTTTCTCTGAATCTGAATACTCTCTGATCTTTCCCTACTTGAGTCTCCTCTATGTAATCATCCTGCTCCATTGATCTCTCCTCCTTGCTCTTCTCTTCTTCGACATCAGTGAGACTAAATTTATACACTTCTGGTGACTGATCATCAGTGCAACTATTCAACGCAGAATCTATTACTTTCTTCTCTTCCTCTTCATTTACCTATCCACCACACAATTCCAACAATTACAAATCCAAGAAAACAAAAAAAAAATCTAACAAACAAAAACATGTTAAAATATTCACCTGTTTTTCAATTTCAGGTGTATATTCGAGCCTTAGGATTTCTAAACGGAGACCTGACTCTTTTGCTATTTCATCCAACAATTTCGACTTCAAATCCTCAGATACCGTAGTGACAGACAATTTCTCTTTAATCTGTGTATTCCGCATAAATTATATTACGAAAAAGTAAAATAAAATGATGAAAAATAAAATGTGTGAAATTAAATGTTTTGAAACCTGGAAGTTAACAAGGTTTCCATGGTGAAGCTGAAGAGTTGTTGTAATGTAAGTTTGACCGTAACGTTGACCAAATAGCTCTCTGATCTTACGTAGCTCATGTAATTCTCCACACCTCGCAGATGCAAAGACAAGACTCGAAACTGCTTCGTTAATGTCGTCTTTAACCAATTCTCTGCAAGATTTCAGTTTCTCGAATTAGTGTTTAATTATTTATAACACAAATAAAACAGTGAATTATAAATAATAAAAAAGAAGATATGTAACCTGTGTTTTCTGATGGAGGAGAAATGGAGAAGGATAAAATCAGAGAAGTGAAGCAACAAATCGTAGATTGAGATGGAGTTTTCGACGAGGAAGAGCTGTTCGGCGCGAAGGAGAGCTCGTGTGAGGTCATTGATTCGGATGAAGAGAGCAATGTCGTCACGTAAATGTCTTGAAATTGCGTATTTTTTGTTCTTGAGTAGCTTGAGACGAGACTGAAGCTGCCGCAACAGCTCTTTACATTTGGAAGCTTTTCTCCATCGACGGAACAAGAAACCAAACATGATTAAACTCAGTTTGTGAGAGAGAGAGAAAGAGAAAGTGGGTTTTGTCCATTACTTATGATACAAGCGAGTGGCTAGTGACGGTTATTATTTGCCTCCGTTTTTAACTGCCTCGTTTCAATTGGAGAAACCCCACTCGTTATATCTGGGCTTGAAACCAGTAATTGGGCCGAGAAAGAACATGGCCCATGTAAGTTGCAAATGCGTAATTTTGTTTTTCTACAACAATTATAGTTTTTGTTAACGTAATTGAGAAAAAATTAATCGGAAAATCTATCAGATACCAAAACGTTAATAACAAGGAAATCAAAACAGAGTATCAAGACATGAAACAGAGTAACTATATTAGAGCATGGAAACAGAGGATCAAAACAGAGCATCTTAGTCTATGTGATATTGCTTCATCCATTTCAAAAATTTATCCAATTTAAGAAAAACAATGTTGCGTATCTTCTTTTTCATTGATTCCATTAGGAAAGATACACTATTTATATGGTTTTTCACTAAGAATCGAGTTTCATTTTGATTTCTTGTGACCCAAGCAAGTAACACATACTAAAAGGGTAATACTTTTGCAGAAA